ACTCAGGATGTGAGTAGATGTGTGAAACAGTTCTTATTTATTTTCTCCCAAATTATTAGAAGTGTAAAAGACATTGAGAAATTAGAAGGTTCTTTTGATTTCAGGTTCACTAAAAAATTTGTCTTAGCAAAGACACTGCCATAGACCTACCCAGAGACCTGGCATATTCACCTGGGCTAAAAAGATCTTTTACATATTGGGGCATCACTGAGTCTTACTTGAGGCAAATTTGTGGTTTTGTCACACAAAAGCAAACCCTAAACGGGTTCTCATAGGATCAAAATAACACAATGTTGAGAATGATCTACACAGCAGACTGGATATATGTAATGGTGCTTCAACAAGAAATTTTATGGAGAATTTTCAACTTTTACCCTGGTTTATATTCACAACAACCAGGATTTGAGGTGAACATGGAATCCACAATAGTAAGAGATGCATATGGAACCCACAAGTTCAAAATTCTTTGGCATTCTGTTTTTCTCAGAGTATAGGCTCCATCTAAACTATTCGGCTTAAGTTTTCGCCTAGTCCCATCATACATTCTTTCCCTAGAGAGCTGATGGCTCTCAGAATTGTATGTCTTTATTAAATTAATGAAGATCCAAAATTGTCAGAAGATTGATTACAAGTTGTGCTGTTCCCATTAAGAATTGTCCTTTTTACTAGTAGTAAAGAGATATTTGACTTCCAAATATAGGTTAACTGGTCAAAGAAAAACATGTAATTCAAGATGTATATAATGAAACCTCCTCTTGATTTCTACAGTTTGGTGAGACTGTGATAGTCTTATCAAAGGAAACTGAGAAATATGGCATAGGACGGAAGAATTCCCTCAGGGACTTGACCCATCCCCTCCTTTGTACATCTGAAGTATATAGTTAACATTGTGTTGTTGTTTGTTTCATTTTGTTTTAAGGCTTTCAGGGCTTCCCTAGTTAACTTAAAAATCTGTAGAAAACTTTGGGGAAATTGCTTTTTTATAGATGACTTATGCCTCTTCATCATATTGAATTCAGCTTTATTTTCCCCTTAATATCTGTTCAATTGCACTGCCTTCTATTTTCTTGGATAACAACCCACCATTTCCTTGTCACTACCTCTCTCAAATTACTGGAGATAACTCTAAATCCTTTCTTTCCAGGGATTTAGTTCTAGAAGAGAGTAGCAGAGACAGAACTAAAATTGGTTACACTGACCGTGCCTGACAAAAGATCCCTGTCAGTCCTCTGTATCTAGATCTAGGCTTCATTTCTCTAAAACGATGAGAGTAAGCCTGGTTTGGGGGCACAAGCCTGTAATCCCAGCAATTGGAAAGCAGAGGCAGGAGGATTAGAAATTTGAGGTCAGCCTCAGCAATTTAGCAAGGCTCTAAGCAATTTATCAACACCCTGTCTCAAAATAAATAATAAAAAGGGCTGGAGATGTGGCTCAGTGGTTAAGCACCCTTGCATAAATTGATAAGAACCAACTGGTTTCTTCACATGAATTAACCTTTCCAACTGGATTTCAGGTTTTTATTTCCATAGGCCAACTATTGCTTTTAAAACAAAGTTCTTCAAATCATAGTCTACTTATTATGTTTACTAGTGTTTTTGCTTTTTCTGGTGTAGAAATTCCAGTAAGTGAAAGGAATCTTAAAAACAGAGGGGGAGTGATTTACCTCTGCACTGCTATCTCTGGCCTTTCTATCCCTGAACTTTCTATCTCTGATATTTAAGACAAGATCCTTCCTTTGCCATATCTGTTATAGGCCAACTCTGTGATAATCACAGTGATCAGGCGGCACTTACTGAATTTGCATTTTTACATTGTAAATAAAAATCAGACTTTCTTTACATACCATTCATTAAATATTCAGTTTAGTTTCCCCAGTTTGCTGAAAATGAAAGCCTGGTTCAGTCTTTCTTTGTGCCATGTCTTCGCTCACATTAGTCATTCCTCTGATCTGTTTAAAGAGAAACTGCAACCTGTTGAGAATAGCCCGAAGCAGCAGGGGGAGAAAACTTTTAACAGCTGTCTGGTGCCTTGCCAAGGGGCAAAGTTCTCTCATTGGATAAAAACCATTTTTCTTCTCTTATCCATTGCTTCCCACTCCACTCCTAAAAGCCCTATACAAACACAAGGATTTGCCAAGCATAACAGGATCACACCTAGCCAGCGGTGGCAGCCAGCCATGGAGATAGGCGCTGAACCAGGCTCATGGCTGTTGTGTTTACCCTTTCATCTCAGGTTTTTCTAGGCAAGTTCTTTTTTTCTCAGATCTTGTGATGGTATTAATGTTTCCAGCAAGATACTGGCATTTTTTTTTTTTTTTACATTTAGCTAATCTTCTCCTTTCTTTTTAAATTTTTTTCTCTCCCCTCAAATTTTAAGTTGTCTTACAGTTTTTCAAAATAGTTGAGACACAGATAAATTACCTGAGTTATTTCCTCTCCACACAAGATCTAAAGTGATGGAAATTAGGTAAAGTTAGAAAACTGTGAGCAGACATGAAAAAGACCCTGTATGGGATATTCAGCTAGACTATGTGAATAGCCAGGAATTAAAAGGACAGACACAGAGAAAAACTTACGAGATTTTCAATACCCAGAGGTATAGCTGCAATAGGAAAATTTTCTAGGAATTTTTAAAGGAAGATAAATGACTGAATATGGCATCTGCGTTACATGGAGTGTTTCCCTATACTTCATGTTTTTTCCTTTATGGAATTTTCATTTCTACTTTATTCTTACCTAAATACATTGCTTGGCATCTCGTTATTTTAAATCTGTGCGCTGCACAGCTATATGATATCAAAGCAAAAATTCCACTGGATTGAATGTACTAAAATAACAATGTTTGGTTCATACTGTACTATCTTGAACCTCAGGGAGTAACTCTCTCAAATCACTTTCGTTTGTGCAAGCACAGTGATGCGGACCTGAGAGATCACACATAGCAACGGAGAGGATAAGGATCTCATCCAAACACTGGCAGCAGGCCATGAGGAAAAACTGCCCTAAGAAAATGATATTTCCAAAGATCATTTTATGATAGTGGATAGAAACCAGGTTTTCCTTCCTTTTTTTTAACCCTTATATTTTATTACACATTTATTATATTTTGTCAGAGGCAAGGACTGAGGAAAATTGTTATACTTCTTTCTTAACAAAAGATTTCCATCTTCATTCATCTGTACTTTCTTACCTTAAATTTCTAATTATTTAAAATGTGATATCAAAAATTGTAGCTGGTATGTCATGATATTATTTCTTTTCAAATTTTGACTACTGTGTAACCATAGCTACAAAGTCAAAAGAGATTTTTTTTGCTCTTACGTTGGAGGGTTCTTTCAGAAATGTAATACAAGCAAAATCTTGCTTTTGCTTTGATTTTAATGATAACCAACCAAATTGAACCACAGGCATTAGAAGCTGTAAGTCTACTGTGAGTGGCCTTTGACTAAGCCTCAAACATGCAGCCTGTAATTGGCCAAGAGCTTTGTATTATTTGAGCTTCATATCCACTCTGATTCTCTGCTTAATCTATTTAATACATGGTTCCTTCCATTATCAACTTGACAGATTCCACTTGGCTGAAGGCTAAGTTTCAGAAAAAATGACCAAATACACAGACTTCCATTTTTAGACCAACATCCAGTTAAGGATAACTAAATAAGTACCAAATGGCTAATGAACTAGGACATTTCTAATCCTTTTGTTACAGACCTGGGACAAATAAAGAGATGTCAATAAAGGATCAGTTTCTTTAGACATTCAAGATTTGGTGAACCATAGATATTCTTAAATTAATTGAAGAAAATCATTAACAGTTATTTTAGTACAACTTAGATATATCTTATAATTTAAAAAGAGACATTATGGTTTTTTGCATATGAAGTTTGGGGTCAAGGTCATAAATCATGAAATCTTCAGGATCTACAGCTCCTTAAAAATGACCTTTAGACAAGTGGCATGTTTTTGGAGCACTGATGGGATTATAGTGAGTACCTAGTACAAATGGCTGAGATCAATAGAACCTATGTTTCAACTCAAAAAGAAAACTAAAAAAAAAGGAAAAATTTTCATATAAATTTTCTCTTACATTTCTCATTTCTTCTATTTACCTGTATCAATTAACTATAATTTTCCCTTCCAAAAAATCCGTTAGTTCATTAAAAATTCAAATGATTAACACTAGTATTCTATAAGATAACGTACTAAATTATATTTTGAAATATACATTAGATTTAGGATATAAGTTAGGATACATTTTCTGAAAAACAGTCAAATTATAAATTGATTTCCTTATTTTTGGATAAAGGTACCTGAAATTCATTAAATTTGTACCAAGTTGGACTTTTAAATTTTTACCACCAGAGGGCAGATTATGCTAGCTATTTATTTAGTAGATTCTCAAAGTGACACAAGGGGCAATTTTAGACAGAAGGGGAAAATTCTCCAAGGGTTTCTTCACAGATTCTTTAGTGGAAGAACTGTTGAATTGTTTCCAATATAATTTTCACACCAGTTATAATAAAGCTAGATAATTATGATTCCAAATTATTAAACTGCTTTCTAAAGTATTTTTGTGACCTGTTGTTTTGTTCCTTTTGTTGTTAATAGACATGGTTTCAATTGAACTAAAATCTTAACTTTATTCAAGGGACACTGAATATGATGGTTTTCCATATATTCACATGTTTAAAAGTTTAACATTTATTTCAACCTAAATTCCAAGTATCTTCATTAGAAACAATAATCTTTATAAGAATCAGTGTGTATAAAGAGTTCACTATGGAAAAATTTAGAAAATATAGATATAATTTAGAATATTTTTGAAGTGCAAAATGGGATTTAAATATATTAGGTGTCCACTACACTTATTTACAGGTATATTTGGATATGATTCCATATCATTCCTTCAATATTATCCATGATATATCTTAAAAGCTTCATTAGAATCAAGTGTAAATTTCTTAGGTACATAAATAATGTCTTATTCACATTTCTTTTTAGTGCCCAAGCAAAACCTATGACCCACTGGTTAAATCCACCCGAGATTTCCCAGATGATGTCATCAGTTTCATAAAGCGGCACCCTGTGATGTATAAGGCAGTATACCCGGTTGCAGGAGGACCAACTTTCAAGCGAATCAATGTGGATTACAGACTGACTCAGATAGTGGTGGATCATGTCGTTGCAGAAGACGGCCAATATGATGTAATGTTTCTTGGAACAGGTGAGTTCAAACTAGACTAAGTTTTCTTTCAAAGGAATTTTTCATTGTCTGATAAAGAAAGCAAAACCTTCGAAATTATTTATTGGTCAAAATAAAAATGAATAATTATTAGACCATACCTTGTCAGTGTTTCTTAAAATTATTTAACACATGCTTTTAACTGATACTATAAACATCTGCTATCCTATTTAAGATTAAAAATATATTTGTATCTTGTGGTTGCAATGGGCCTAGTATAGATTAGGTGCTCAAGACATATTTGTTGAATGACCATGGACTAAAATTAAATTAATAGAGCAAAACAATTTATTTTCCAACTTTACCTTTCCCTCTCTTACCAGGGTATCTGATAAGCTCTACCCCAAGGACTCTCAGTTTGAGAACTACTGGCTTAGTTGACTTAATATGGCTTTTTAAAAACATTAATCATTATTTTATAAAGACTTTAAGCAGAATTTCTTAGAGATTATTTTTTCTGTTCTTGAATTTTGTAGATTAAAATAAATTTTGTGGTCTCTCATTCTTGAAGGTCATCTTATTTATTTGTTTTGCTAACTCAGTAATTACAAAATGAGTTAAATGTATTGTTTGCAGAAAAAGACACTACATTTTTGGTGAGTCTCCAAAATAGGAAAAATTATTATCTAATAATACTTTTCTATTGTGAATTCTAATGGCAGTAATGATAATATGTATCATTAAAGTAAAACTGTTGCATTTTAGACACTATGTTATCTAATAGATTGAGAATTTAATAAAGAAATAGAAATTAATAGGTTTTTTGACAAACAGACATCTTTATTGGAATAGTTTTTTAAGTGTGTAAAACAATTTTAGAATTATTTGTTTTTTAAAACCAAATTGGTTTTGTAGAAGTTAGGTTTCTTAGGAAGCATTTGTGTGATAAATTATTAAAGTGCTTTCTAAGGTATTTTTGTGACCTGTTGATTTGTTCCTTTTTGTTTTTAATAAACATGGTTTCAGTTGAACTGAAATCTTAACTTCAAGCACAATTGTCAAACATGATCATGTTACAGATAGCAATTTTAAGATCCATATAAATAAGGAGTGTTCTCAAGACTGAAGAGATGGCTGTTTAAGGGGTCAGAACTTGAAATAATGAGTCTGTTATTACTGAGTTTGACATTTAATTTGCTCTGTTCATCCAAAGCGCATTCCTAGCTTTTAAACAGTTTATTGTCATAAACATCGTTCAGCCACTAGGTGGTACTACCTAACTTTAACTAAAATTATGGCAATGTTAAAGTAGTCAATTTGACACTTAAAGTGTATAGTTAATATATTTCAAAGATTCCATAGTCATTGACAAACAATATGAAATATTATAGGCTATTTGTGCATATAGTAACATTATTGCATATGCCCCTGTACTTCAATGCCTGCGCTCAGTTTAATGACATTTGTTTTCTATAAATTAATTAAAGTGGTATTTTTTTCTTTTTCCAAAGTAGTCTTTTGAATCTCTCTCTATACTAGCATACCACCACATAGAACTGCAATATAAGATGATGTACTTAAGATATCTTTTCTAAACATCAGATTTCGTTTTACATTGTTAGTTTTATATTGTCTCTTAAGTTGAATTAAAATAATTGAAAATAAAACTTTAGTTTTTGCCATATTAACAATGGTTACAAAGGTAGAATATATTTGAAGAGATGTAGTATCCCTCATGTAGACTGGATATAATAGGTATTCAGTAAATATTTATTGCAGAGATCACTATGTAGAAGTAAAACTAGTTTTTTTAATGTACTTTAGAATCTTAAATTAAGATCTAAAATATGTGTTTCATCTCTGTTATCATTTTAAGCAATACTTAAATTAGGCACATATATTTCTTTTGTTAAGAATGTGCACTAAAATGTCAGGTGTGGTGGCTCATGCCTGTAATCCCAGTGATTCTGGAGGCTGGGATTATTTGTATATTATTTGTAATTATTTTATATAAATCATTAAAAAAAAGTTATGAAACAAACTTTCTTGCTTAACATTTTTATTTTATGAATTTTTTTTAAATCTTTGACATCTGCTACTATTTGTCAATTACTAAATATAGACAGATAATAAATGAATAAAGAATATAGATAATAGATAAACTATTTTTAATACTTTTTTTCTTTTGATAGCTTTTATGTTCAAGGAGCATCACAAATTCAAAGCCAACCTCAGCAATTTAGGGAGGCCCTAAACAACTTAGTAAGATACCATCTCAAAATGAAAAAAAAAATAAAGGGCTGGTGATGTGGCTCAGTTCAATCTATAATACCAAAAAAATAAAAATAAAAAAAGAAAGAAAAATAAAAAATATGAACTGATATATATAATTTAATAATCTGTTTATAAAATTCTGTTCTTTCAGCTAAAAGCTATCATGTTTCTTAAGGGCAAAACACTATACATTAGCCTTCATTATTAATCTGATTTCTTGAAAAACATTTAAAGAACAGTGAGACAAGCAATTTGATGGTTTCTAGGAATATACTTAATATTGAAATAGAAACGGCAGGATTATAAATTATGTATTTTTTCAGACATTGGAACTGTCCTAAAAGTTGTCAGCATTTCAAAGGAGAAGTGGAATATGGAAGAGGTGGTACTGGAGGAGTTGCAGATATTTAAGGTACGGCTTAGTCCAGAGTTGCAGGGGGAAAAGAGGGTGAAACTGCATACTCCTTGCTACAGGGCACTCTTTAATACATCATCACTTTTGCTGGAAAGTCTTTGAAATCAGTTTCCTTCTTTTTCTTTTCCCTAAGCATTGAAAAGAGTTTTATAAGAAACTAAGAATGGGCCTTACCTTCCTCTGTAGAATACCACTGATTGAGAGCTCCTGGGATTGCCTCTCATTACTGCATTCTCTAAGCATATAGTCAGACAAATTGCCACATTAAATGAAAGCCTGGGGTCTCTTTTACTATCCAGATGCTTTTCTACTTTATAAATTTCACGTTGCAATTTTTCCCCAATTGAATTTGAGAAAACTGGAAGAGAATATAAATCATATATCCCTGCTTTTCTGTAAGGAAAATTTTTAAAATATGTTACATGATAGTAAGTCTTCCTGTATGCCAAAGTCCTGACGCCCTCCCCAACCCTCATAGTTAGTAGATCTAGAAGAATTCTCCAGGTTATGTGAATGTCTTTGACTTTTAACAATGCAATTGAATTGTGACATTCTTTGTAGAGCCTCAATAAAGTTTAATTTAAAAGTATTTCCTGAAAATACCATTAGAAATAAAATTGTATTTCTTGGAAATGCTTTTTAAAAATATTCTGGATTTTTTTATAACATTTTTGTTCAAAAAAACTTCCTTAAAAACTGTTTCCCTGTAAACATCTATGACTTTAAAGGAGAGAAGAGCCCTCCACTGTGAGGGGCTCAAGTTAATTAACATGCTGGGTTCCACAGATCCTGTTTACATTGTGATGATAATAGTGGTCAAGAAGTTAACAAGAACAAGACCTGCTATCTGGCCTCTACCAAAACAAAATCTTGGGTGGTTCCTAAGGGAAAGGCTGATGTCAAATATAAGGGTGAACCCAGAGGCCTAAATAAAGTCCCTACAATACACAAGCATATCAGAACACATTTATTCACAGAACACAGTGGCTGTTAGACACTAGTCAAGAGGAATTCTTTGGCTTCACTGTGAAGATTAAACAATGCCATGGTTTGTTCTTTCTCTCTCTCTCTCTCTCTCTCTCTCTCTCTCTCTCTCTCCTCTCTCTCTCTCTCTTTTTATTCCCCCTCTTTTTAAAAAAGCATGTTTATTGAGGTATAATTTATCTTAAAAATATATATAATTAATATACATCATTTAATGACTTTGTCCACGTTGTATAATTCATTTTTAAAAAGTTATGAAACAAACTTTAACATTTTTATTTTATGAATTTTCTTAAATCTTTGACAACTGCTACTATTTGTCAACTAGTAAATACAGACAGGTAATAAATGAAATAAATAGAATATAGATAATAGGTAAACTATTTTTAATACTTTTTTTCATTTGATAGCTTTTATGTTCAAGTTTCTTATTCTACTTTGCATGCATACAACCATATTCTCTACATATAAAACAGGCTCTAGTTCATATCATGAAATTGTGTGCATTGACATCTCATAATGTTACATAAAGAATATGGCCATCTACAAGGAGTACTGTAGCTTTTCAAAACTCTGCTACTTGAATAAGTGTTTGAATCACTGATCTAAGTAAGAGCAGAAAGAGGTAATAAATAATTACGGAGATGTTCTTGTCAACACTAGTTTGAATTATATGGAAACGTTAAGATAAGCAGATTTAAAAGAAGTAGAAAACTTGTAACTGGGAACAATTTTCAGTGCAGAAGTCTTCTTCATAAATTTAGTTTGTTTTTCTTTAAGAAGATACTTTAAAATAACTACTTTCCTCATTTCTGTTAAGGTAGATTCACTACACATTGGAAAAAGATAGCAAACAGAATCCAGACTTTGACTTCAGTAATTTATATATATATAAAACAACATATTGACTAATATAAAATCATGTTATGGCTATCTTTATTGATGTTTACTTTCTATTTTCAGCACCCATCAATCATCTTGAGCATGGAGTTATCTTTAAAGCAGGTACTTTATTTTTGGTGTAAAAAAATATTTTAAAAAGTAATAAGTTGCATGAATGAATGTTGATTTGAAGAATACATTGGAATAGGAAGTTAAACTACAGATAATTTAAAAGTTTCAGATTATTTGTTTCTCAAACTATTGATTTGAAACCCTTGTTCCAACCTTGCCTTGGAAGAATAGAGACAAAGTTCACTTATTGAACTATATTTTATATTCTACATTCTCCCCTTCCTTTGGGCTCTTAAAAATTGAGCTCAGTTTTCTGGTGTATTTCTGTCAAGTTCATAAGAAATATATGCAAAATGTTAGTTCTAACCATTAAAAAAGATTTTTAATTAGGGAGTGTAGGAGGTAGAATATGGACTGTAGTGGCAAATAGCCCAACAGTCAACTTTCATCACACTACTCAATATCTATCACTCAGATTCAATTTCCTCAACAGCAAAGTTGAGAAACCTTCTATGTTAGTTGTGAGTTTAAATAGGATGCTGTAGGCTAATGTTTTAAACAGAGTAACACAATGTAAGTGTAGACTTAATAGTAGCTATATATAATAATGATAATAATATAATGTAATTTCATAGCCCCCTGGTATGATATTTGAAATCCCAATTCATTTACAATTCAGACTTGCATTACCATTTCTATATGTACCCTCAAGATTTAAGAAAATCATATGATAACATGCTCAACATTAAGATGTTGCTAAAATTGTCTTAGTATACTCTGCCTAGTATGGCCAAGCAATTATTAGGGCAAGATATAAATAAGTTTGTTCTTCAGATCTTTTCCATGAATTTGTTCATTCATTCAACCTTTATTTCTTGAAGGCCTACAAGTGTGCTATAAGAGTACAGAAATCAATAAGTGACATAACAAAACTTCCGGAAGTTCATTGTAGAAACAAAGATGCATGCTAAGATCACTGAGTAATAATGGAAAAATATACATAGAAGGTAGCCTGAAATGAGCCAGAATGGGCAAGGGAAGATATCAAATAGACATGTGACCTGAGCCATAAAGGATATTGTATTAACCAGAAAAAATAAGAAAGGTGATGGGATAAAGGAGAATACCCCAAATAGAAAGGGAGAACATTTGTAAAGATGTGAAAAATAAGAGCCCATAGTTAATTCTAGTAAGTTTATGTACAAGTAGAGCAAGGACATGTGTGTTCAAGGGGGAAGGAGGCTAGAAATGAATCTCAGTAAGCCAGGGTAAGATTAGGCACATGCTACATGCCCTCCCAAGATGGTTAACAATTTATCTTAAGGATGTGAAATCCATTAAAGATTTTAAGCAGGAGGGTGTCATGATAAGATTTTCTGTTTTAGAAGGATCAGTCTGGTGTGACAGTGTGAAAGATGGATTGGGTCCTATGATAGAAGTGGGAGTTGCTGGAAAAGAAGGCAGAAGTCAGCAGAATTAGTTAGGACACTTAAAAGTAATCCAGGAGAGAAATGATAAGGACCCATGCAAAGGCAGTGGTAGTGGAAAGGGAGAGGGAGAGGAGGAAGCAGATTAGAGGTTTCTATATGGGGGCATGGAAATGACCTGGTGACAGATGGTGTAAGAACGAAATCTCAAAGACAACTCCCAGGTTTCTGTCTTGCGTGCCTGGATGAGTGATGGTGTCTCGTGCAAAGGAAGGGCAGGTGGGTAGCTTTAGGGGAACTGCTATACTCTTGATTTGGCTGTTTTCAAGATACCTTTGAGTTTCCCATTAAAGAGGACATGAGAACAGAAAAGAAAGAAATTTGACATTTAGTTCAAAGGAAGGAATCCCAGAGGAGACAAATGTCTTAGGCAGAAATAAAGAGGAAGTATAGGATAAAGTGCTGAAGAGAGTTTTGAGGAAGGTATGGTCACTGGTCTCAAATACTGAAGAGAATTTAAGTAAAATTGATAGTAAAGCATGGCCGGTGCATTTAGTAACAAGAAAGGTTTAACTGAGAGCTTAATGAGCAGTAAATATGTAAGACACATTACTGATTGTGTGTGTTACTTATGTTAAGATCTATTTATAAGGGGTTTCCCCCTCTACTAAAAACCTGGAATGGTCCACTAGAGTTCACCATGAGTTCATTGACTGTATAGAGTCTGTGTGGAATTTCCCTCTCTCCCCTTCCACTACCACCACTGCAGACACTCTAATAAGTATACATGGTGAATGGTGCATCAATTTCAGGACTAATTTTCAAAAATATGAATTTATTTGCTTTTTTTTTCAGTATCTTACACTTTCATTTGTGATGTGGCATCTCTCAGCCTGCTTAGTACTTTCTTTATACTGATACTAAATAACTTAGTTGCTCTCAGAGATCAATACTTCATTAGCAAATGAAATAATTTAAAAATGGAATGAAGTTTTATTAATCTCTTCAGTCATCTCTCATGTAAGGAACCGTGACAGAGAAAGTCCATCAGTTTTGCCTATAGCATCTGTGCTTGATATAAACTACCAATTTCTACTATTGAGAATTTGACATCTTAATTCCTCAGTCTAGCAGCTGTTTCTTGAACTTCTTAAATTACTGCCAAGCTTACTCTAGCTTTATAGAACACTGTGCAATAGAATATCAGCATCTTCAAACCACAGTCCTACCACGGATAGAAGTAATTGCCTTGTTTTACTCTTCATTACATTTCTGCAAAAGTGTTTACAATGGTCAGGACACCCGGGGAAACAGATTTAGTGTTATTATGTGGTGTTCAAGAAGGGGAAGTTCATAAGACTCATCTGAAAGATGCTTATAATTCATTTGTTTTGCCTGATTTGCAGCAACAATTGTACATTGGTTCCCGGGATGCATTGGTTCAGCTCTCCTTGCACAGATGTGACACTTATGGGAAAGCCTGTGCAGACTGCTGTCTTGCCAGAGACCCCTACTGTGCCTGGGATGGAAATGCATGCTCTCGATATGCACCCACTTCAAAGAGGTAAGTTATTAGGAAGCTTCCCTTTCTATAAGATTAATATCTCATATAAATGCCTTGTCTTATAGTTTAAAGAGAACGATGGGGAAAACTTAGTTTCTGGAAGGAATATTAAAATTATAATATAATTTCATAGTTTTACATAATACTGAACTATGAAGGAGGATACAATAGATGTTCTGGAATTCTAAAATGTGAAACTATTAAAAAAATCCAACACATTTTTTATATTCTTTTATTTATGTCAAACACCACTAAAAGTTCGTTTATTCACTACTTTCCTTTTTCTGTCTCTCCCACCTTATTTTTAAATTTGCACACACTCATACCTATTGTTTTGCAAATAATTTGCACATATTATTATAGCTCACAGTGCATCTAATAGCTTGGTAAATTTTTATTTTTATTCTAATAACCTTAATTTGGTCAATTTCTTTCATCATATGTACTTGAACTGCAAATTGTTTCCCTGCTGTGTGTAGTTCATTGTTTTATGTATTCTTAGAAATAATGCTATTTTGAGCCAAGAATAAAAATTTGTACTATTCATTCATGTGCAGAAAGACCACAAAGTTACAAGATATTCATTTCAGCACTGTTGACTTGCAAAATAACTGGGAAAACCCTGAATGCCTATTAATATGCCTGACATTATCTAAATATACTATTATAATTAGTTTTAGATGCAGACTAAATAACATTATTTGCTAAAGTATTGTTAAAAGTGCATTTCGTCTATGTAAAACAACAACACATTTTGGTATTATTTTGTTGTTATTTTTTAGGCTTTTTTTTTTTATGCACACACATGAATCTTATTACCACTTTTTTGCTTTGTTTAAATTTGCCTGATTGGTCAAATTCTAAACTCTAGGCAACACAGGTTGAATGTATATTACAATGGCAAATATTGCTTAAAGTTAAGACACATTTTATATTCTCTTCAATTCCTGAAATAAATGTCAGTGGGTAGACATGATTATTAAAAGTTAAAAGTGAGTAGTCACCAACATTTTGCTATAGTTTTTGGCAAAGGTTGTACTCATCACAGTGAGTCTTTGGGGAATTCTTTTCTGGAAGCTAAAAAACCAGAATGCTCATTAGCTGGCAGTAAAACTTCAGTTTGATTAATTGACCCTGTTCCTTAAGAAGCCAAGATTTAAAAACATTCTTGACCTTATGTACCTTATACTACCATAATTTTTTTCTTTTTATATTTCCCAAGACTGTGTCTCTGATCTTAAAGACATGCCACTGTGATATTTTCCCTTACCTAGTATAATGTCTGTGAGAGTCTAAAGATGTATATGAGGGGTGAATCTTACAAGGTTGTCATTGACCAGTACTGCCCTTGAGGAACACCTTAGTTATCCAAGAAAGTTTGTTGTTACTTCTCTACAACAAAGACTGTGGGGAGTGGACCAGAGGGAGGAACAGAGGGAGGTTGATCAATGGGTACTAAGTTACACTCAGACAGGAGCAAGAAGTCCCTGTGGACTACTGCACAGTAGGATGAATATAGATAATAATAATGGACTTTACATTTCAAAATGCTAAAGGAAAGTATTTTGAATATTTTACCATAAAGAAGTGATAAATATTGCAGGAGATAGATACATTTAAATTGATCTAAACATTATACAACATATATATATATGTATATATATATATAGTTTTATACATATATGTGTGTGTGTGTGTCATGTGACACTCTATTAATTCTATAATCTTCATATAATCTTCATGTTTTGTTTCAGTTATATTAAAGTTTATTTAAAGGAAAAACAAATACCCAAAGCAAATTAAAATATATTGTAAGAGTTTAAGGCATACTTTAGATATAGCAATTTTTTTCTTTTTATATATGATGATTACTATTTTGTCTTAAGGAAAATATGTGACCTAATGCAAAAGCCATTGTGTATATATTATTAGTGACACTAGAAAAAAACATGTGAGCTACATGTTCCTACATAGAAATAACACATAACAATCCATGCCACATCAAACATGTACCTGTTTCAGACACCATCTTTCTATATAGTGAATCTATCCATGATAAAGTGCTTTGTATTAGTGTATACACTTCTACATACTAATTAAAACTCTTATATATTACTTTTCCCAGAACTGACAGAAAAGAGAGTGAGAATAGTTACCACATATTAAAAACATGGATTCTATTTATGTTCAACCCATTCTGTCCAATCATTTTTCAAGTCATAGAAAAAGAATAGTAGTTAAATAAAATTCAGATCATCCTAATGCAAAACACTATCTATTCTATTAAGCATTTACTATACTAGTAGTATCTAAATCAATGTTAGATTGACTGGAGTATTGAACTGCATTTTAAATTGAGCAGTAAAATAAGGATAGTTATGCATCTGCTGCTATTAGTGTTAAGTGTAGCCTTTCTATATTCTGATTATAATGCTTGGAGTTCTCATCACTCCAATCCTCTTTTCATAGGCGAGCTAGACGTCAGGATGTAAAGTATGGGGACCCAATCACCCAGTGCTGGGACATAGAAGAAAGTAAGTATTGGTTTAATATGCTTTTGCTCCCAATTAAAACGATAAGTCCAGGCTTTGTATATCTTTTTAATTACATGACTCCAAACAACTATTATATTAAGATCTCATTTTGTGTAGTGCTTATATTCTGGAAAAGGAACAGGAGATTTTATAAATCAACCCCTGTCTACAAGCCTAAGTGAATAATCTTTTGTTATATCATGATTTGTTTCATATGTCTTTTAAAATTCCTATACTTTAGCTTTTGTTTCTTTTCTTACTCTCTTATCCGTCCTTGTAAAGTTTGAAAACTGCTTTTTAGAGATAAAGCAGGATATAGCCCAAAACATTTGGACATATAGAGTAAACTCAAAAGAAACCTCTCACGAAAGTGTGTCAAAGTATAGGCACTTATTAGAAAGACGTTTTAGGTAGCCTATACTTTATTTGTACTCAGCTATTAATAAATATATTCATGATTGTTCTGAATATACTAGGAGACAAGGAATGCCTTAAAGGGCTTAGGATTCCTTGGGGAAATATGATGATCAAGGCTCAATGGGAATTTAGCAAAAAAAAAAAAAAAAAAAAAACAAGCTATCACCGAGAAACACAAAAATCGAAGATCTTGAAAGAATGAGTAGGAAAGAAGCAGGATGGGGAGTAGAGAGGAAGTCTGGTGAGTGAGTCTAAAAACAGAGGGACCTCTAAAAGTAGATATCCCATAGTTTTACTCTACCTTCAGGTAGAACACAGAAGCATGCACACCCGCAAATGCACACATGCAACTAGTGGGAAAAAAAAAAACAATTTCCTTTATCACATTGTTACTAATCATCCCACCAGTGATGAAAATAACCCAATTTTCATATTTTATAACTGGGAACCCAGCAATGTTTTCTTGTTTTAAAAGCAAGGCAGTCATTTTTAACTCAGAATTCTGAAAAATAAGTTCAGGACTAGCACAGTGTAGTCTCATTCTAACAATGTAAGAGACTCACTGTCATGTCCAGTGTTGTGTTTAGTAATCACTACTGTGTGCCTTCCATATGCACATCAGAGACTGTGGTAGGTGTGGAGGACATACAAATGAGCAAGAAGGAAGCAATGTATGTATTCATAGAATTTATATTTAGGTGCATTAGGGAAGAAAGCAAACAATAAATATAAACAGACAATAAAAATAAAAACAGGTAAAAATGCTGTGTTATTTGATGATAAATGTTATAAATAAAACAACATAAAGCACACAGTTTTCCCCTAAGGCTCATAGTTATTGTCTCTACCTTGCCATATTGCATTCTTGCTATAACCCATAGTGCCCAGTTTTTTGCATTTATTATTGTCACTTTGCTCAATCCATTCTTGTTAAAGTCACCAGCAGTTTCCTTCTTGCCAAATTCAATGGCAAATTTTTAATTCTCATATTTATTTAACATCTAACTCCCTCTTCCTTGAAACACTTTCTCCCCTTAACTTCCTTGTAGTGGTATGCTGTAGCCTTATGAAACCTGTTGCTTATTACTTTGTTGTTTTGTGAGCTGGTTTTAAACCACTGGTAGCTGCAGTCAGCTACAGTGGGGGTATTTACACTAGAAAAATAAAAAAAACACTATCAAGCCTTTCTCTTTTCAGAGAGGAGGTATACTTGCACACTTAAGCTTTTATGGTACTACATCCTGGTTTATCTGTTACCTTGCAGACTGCACCTTCTGTGTACTCTCAACCTTTCTTTTCATTTGCAACAAGTTTTCCAGTGACCCAAACCACTTTTTCAATCTCCATCTGTTCTTTCCCCTAATATCATCACTTTAGTACTATCAGAAGCTATTTGACTCCTAAAATCATAGTCCAGTTTAAGCTCGTCCCTGATGGCAGTCTGGAATGCTTGCATGCCTACTTAATAGATCCTTCTGAATGCATAGTTAACATCTCCAACATATATCTAAGAATTCTTGCTATCTTCTCCAAAGCTGTATTTCTGCACTTTCCTATATTAATAAATAGCATTTCCATTCATCCAGCTGCTTAGGTCAAAAAAGCAGCTCAGAGTCACATCTTTATTCTTTTCTTTCTTTCATATCCTACCACCGACTTCTCAATAAGTCCTTTTCCTCATCTTCACTGATACCTCGATTCCTCTTCTATAGCCTCTTTTCTGGTCTCCTGTTTCCATGCTTGCTCTGCTTCAGTCTACATCTTACTCTGTAACCAGAGTAGTCTTTTCAAAACTTCAGTCAGATCACATCATTACCTTACTAACAATGTTTCATTAGCTTCTTAGAACAAGTAGTACAAATCCACAGTCTTTACCATGGCATGTGAGAAACTGTTTCACCTGGTCCCAACACCTTCTTGACCCTCTCTCATATACTGTTGCATGGTCCCCTCACCGGCTTTCTCTTTTTCAAGAGCACCAATCTGTTTCCTGCCTCAGAGCTGTTTGTATTTGTTGTCCCCTGTGTTTCCCCTCAGAAGTTCACATAGCTCCACTTTCATATCATGCAATTTTATGCCTCAATGTTAATCCCTCAGAGACCTTTCCTGATCTTGCCATCAGAAATACTTTTCTTCTTTCTACTTACTATTGCCTAATCTACTTTTTCTTTTTCTTTTCTTTCTTTTTCTTCTTTTCTTGTAGCAGATAATAACACATACTATATCCTTTCTTCATTTACGTGGTTATTTTGTCTGTGTCACTAGAATATATGTTTCTTAAGGTCAGAGATTTCGCCTGCCATATTTACCCAGGCACTTAAAATAATCCTAGTATGTTGGACACCTAAGACTGTTTGTATAATGGATGGGTAAAGGAAAGCCTACTCAGATGGGTAGCATTTGAAGCATGCTTTAAAGACAAAACTAAATTTTACAAAGTAATAGTAATTAAAACCAGATAAAGCCTGGAATGGTGGTACCTGCCTGTGATCCCAGGATACTAGAGCCTAAGGCAGGAGGATCATAAGTTCAAGGCCAGTCTTGGCATTTTACTGAAACTTTGTCTCAAAATTAAAAATAAAATAAAATTTTAAAAGGGTCTAGGCATGTAGTTCAATGTTAAAGCACAAGTGGATTCAATTCCAGTACTAGAAACATAACAAAAACAGAAAGACCTCATATAGGTTGGGTTACATTTGTGGCAGTCTCATGTTATTCCATGAAATTTATGTTTACTTTCCAAGTGATGAGCCATTTCATATTTCTCAGAAAAGTTTTTTAATTAAATTAATTATCTCCTTATGGATAATTGATTAGACTAGGAGGAGCTAGAGGCTGAGAGTCAATTTTGGAAGTTAAATAATTTCTTTGAGAATACCTACAACTAAAGCAATTACAGTCTTAATGTAGAGAAAAGGGCAAATTTAGACACTAACTTGTAGAAAAGAAGAAAGGAGATGATTTGAGTCTAAACCACCATAAATGCTTGTAGTACTTACTAGGTAATCATCTCTCGAATAATTGACAAATAGATATATTCTTTGTTCCTTCTTTTTCTTTTTTTTAATTAACTAATTGCTAAATGTTATGATATAGTGTGATTACTAATGATGTAGATTAGCTATGTTTGACAATGGAAACCAGACCGAATCTTGTACCTCAATGCCATATATTTAATATAAAGAAATATTCCAGCCACTTACTATGAAAAACAATTTTTGACATCAATGTGGAAATTGAAATGCCCCATTCCAAATTATATTACACTTAATAAGGAAGATAGTGCATTTTAAAATACTATTCTATATGACTATATTACATCATAGTAGGATTTTCATATTTATATATATAATTACATACACACACACATATATATGCATTTAAATATACATATACTATTTGAAACTTAAAAATGGGAACTTTAAAAATGAAAAATGAGACAAGCATTATAGGAACAACAATAAATTTATTTTCAGTCAAACAAATGTTTTGGTGACTATGTTATAGGTATGTATTTTTCTGATTTGAAAAAAAAGATTTCAGACTATTTGTTTACTATTTTAGCTTTTCTGTATATTTTACTAATTTTTCCTTTACTGAATTGACAAGTTCTTTGCTTGAGTCAGTCTGAGTTTCTTCTGATTGCTTGCCTCATAACCTGACAGTCAACATGCGGTACTCTCTGTTTGTTGACAAATTCCCTTTCTCAGGATCTGATATTATTAAGTGGTCAATGTCTTTCTCTCCCATCGATGGCATTTGTGATCTTCTGTGCATTAGGATTTTATTAACTGTGAAAATTGCAGATATAATCTGTTGAAATGCTGGAGACAGTTGATGAGTTAGAAATTTTAAATAGAATCCAAGCATTGTAAAGGTTAGATAAGGTTAATTCAAAAGTTGTTAATGTACTTGACTTAATCATTGTAGGTAAAATACAAATATATTCAAAAGAAGTTTCTTAGAAACAAGTCATAGGATGGATGTGCATGCATGCCATTGCTGAGAATTCTGTGTGCTTTTCTTTAGGATTACCATTGGTCCCTCAAACCATAGTCCTTGGTTAATGTCTAACTTGCTAAAGTAGGACCATTTGTAGAATGGAGATATTTAAATGTGTGATGAAAAAAATGTCTGTTTGGGCCAAGCTGAGCAGCCATCATTTTTTATTTGATTTAAGCTACAGATCTTCAATTTCACAAGGGACACAGACTTTGGCTATTCTGGATGAAATGTATTTCAGATGGTGCAGTTGATTTACAAAAATAAGTTGTCTGAGATGCTGCTTCTTAGCATCCCATTAACTATCTCATAGCAAATGCATGTCAGGCTAAAGAATCTCTGAAAAAAATATGGTAGAAAATGCAAATAAGGCCCAGATTGTGAGTCTTAGATTATGTGCAGTATTCTAATCACAGAATTTCATCAAATATCACTGTACTAATTTTTCTGACATCAAAATTTCCAAATGTTATCTGGTCATCTCTGTGGACCCATTCAATTAGAATTTCTCTTAAAAGTACAGTAAATAGCAGAAGTAACCACATAATTAGTTATATTTTATATAAAAATGTTAGAACATTAAAACGTGCTAAAGATTATATTTAGAGAAAAAGTATATTTAGAATTAAATCTTGTGAATTGTTTTTAAAAAACCAACCAAAACTGCAAATTGTTAATATAGTGATGAAATAGTAAAAATTAAAATACAAATGTAAAGTTTTAAAAAATCAATCTATTGGATAATATTTGACTTGAAGGTAATAATATTATAGGATGAATTTCCTTTCTGTTTAATAATGTGCATGATTCTTTCCTGATGGCATCTGTTCTGAATCATTCTGTTTTCCCTTTACTTTTACAATCAGGTCAAGGTTAATCTTTTATTCCATGTTTGTTTTCTAGGCATTAGTCATGAAACTGCTGATGAAAAAGTGATTTTTGGCATTGAATTGAATTCAACCTTTCTGGAATGTATACCTAAATCCCAACAAGCATCTATTAAGTGGTATATCCAGCGGACAGGAGATGAACAACGAGAGGAGGTGAGTTATCATCATCAGAGAATGCTAACCTTCAGGGAAATAGTATAAAGTTTAAATTGAGTTTTGGCTATGAGATATATTCAACTTTTAGTGCCATATGATCTCTAATCGCTATTTGATAAAGGAGAAAATAACAGTTCGTGCTAACACCAAAGGGTGACAATAGCTTTGAGAATCAGGCAATTTAATGCATTATTAAATTGGGCAATTTAATACAAATACACTAGTCAAATTTAATACAAATACACTAGTCAAATATATTTAAAAGTAGAGTTAATTTTTAAAATAAATTTATATTAATTTTAAAAATTATTATTTCATAAAGATTTTGACAACTCCACGAATAAGGCAATCTTCTTTCTCTCTGTAGTAGCATATTAAATTTTAAATCACATTGTATTCAATTTAGATTACAAAATGAATTTTATGACAAATTTGTATGAAAATACAAATATCTATTTTTATCATATGATAAAATTTATTGGATAAGTATTTGGACATATACCTTCTCACTTTCATGTATTAAAATTAAATCAACAGAGGGAAATGTAATATGGCTACTCTAATTTTTGCCATTCTTTCTGCTAATTTTCCTAATATATAAATGTGATTGAAATATTTCATGGGGATTTTGTAACATGGATAGGTTTTGTGTATTATGGAACTTAATATTATTATTTGAGTAACTTAGGAAATCATGAACTGATGTTATTTGATTGACATATAACAATGGTTAATTGGCAGAATTGTTTGTTATTGTTGATTATTACTACAGTGGCAGAAAGAAAGCAGTGATGCTCAGACCAGAATTCTAGAACTCTCAATTTTAAAATGAGGCTGCTGAAATGAATAATAGATTGAGTGCAGGATTCTGGATAGATGTCTTGATTTGCAACATGAACCTGATGTGTTGATATAATTGAGCCTCTGAGACCAGAATTTTCCTAATGGAACAAAATAACTTTAAAAATTACTGTGAAAAGCAAACAAGATAACACATATGACAAAGTAGAATTTCAAAGCAGAGTTCTTATAAGTATACAATAATATCACATATACTATCTATGAATAACAATATGTGGGATAAGAAATAATACTGATCACATGCTTAGAAAATTATGACCCTCCCACTGGTTTGACTGCCTAGGATTTCTGAGCAGGTTGTCACTTTCTCAACCTCTTTGTTAAATTTACTATCATTAAGAATAGTAAATGTAAGTAATCAAACATTAGTAGAGAACAGTAGATCTCAATCTCAGGCAATTTTGCTCTGAGAAGACTGATGTTTGGCAGGTTCCTGGGACATTTTTGGTCATTGAAACTAAGTGGGTGGGTGGTAAGTGGGTGCTTCTGGTATCTAGTCTGTAGAGGTCAGAGATAATACACAGAACTTCAGGTAATACACAGAACTTCAATGCACAATTACCCGCAAGAAAGAATTATCTGACATCAAACATCAATGCTGCTGAGATTTAAAAACTTTGGAGTAGCAAGGTCAAATTTTGTAATAAGAAATTGATTTAATGATATAATTCTTCTGTTACATGAAAACAAGTATCTTTACCTAAGATCTACAAGGATAATTTTTCTATCAAAATGTTGATTCTATGTACTTAATACCATACCAAGGGAATAACTCCATTCTTTATTATGTCACAGTTATCCAATAAAACTCAATTGTTCATCATTACTGACATTCATAAATTATAAGATTATGCAGAACCATATTTACACTAAACATGTATCTTAAAAATTCTCATTTTTACCTATATATTGGAACATAATCTGATATAGAATTTAATTATTTAATTTCAAAATAGAAGGTTTTTTACTTTTTATCCAAGAAATATTGGAAGAATGTTATCTGTATTTTTAACATGCAGATTGCTTGTAGTTACATTGAAATATTTTAATATTAAGTTTAATAAGCCAGTAATTTTAATTTTATAGCTCATAAATTTGATGATTTTCTTTTGGTTAAAAATAACTATTCAATCAGTGATTTTTTTTTCCTCCATAGCAAATGTAATCTGTTGTGTATCTTCCAAATGCAGATAACTACATTTGTCTGTGCTTGTTTGCATTCACATCTTTCATTTTCCTGAAAATGCTATGCATTACTTTAATGTACCTTTTAACAGTATACCATATAGTCATGATGGTACCATGCTCCATGAATTTCAATGGAGCAGAAATAGAGTATTTATTGAATCTTACTTAAAAGTATTTAGCTGTAATGTTTGGACTGTTTTTGTCTGTCTTTGTAAATGGCCAGTTTCACATAGTCCAGGATATGCAATTCTGCTTCCTGAGCTAGGAAAAGGGCAACATTCAGACTGCATGAAGCACTTTTCCCAGCAGGATACCTTCTGTTCCTTACCCATAAGGTCACAGTTTGGAATCTTTCCTAAACTCAAAAAAGCCTGAGGGACAGACCATGATCTCCTGTGGTACAGAGGCTGTCACCAGGTTATTCTCTGCCAGGAGGAGAACATTTCCTTACTGAGTTGTGTCACAGTTGGGTGCTGTTGGGGAGGTCATGAGTCAGTTATCTGCTGACTTTCTTATAAAGCTGTTCTTGAAATTGATGATGTTTATGCTATAACTAAGCAAGTTAATAGGCAGTCCCCAAGCTTCTGTTGAACTTTGGGGATGTTAATGAATAAAGGAGGCAATACTTCATGCCATTTACCATACTGCATTTTCTCTGTGGATTTTCCCATTTTTCAAACGTCTTCAAATATTTTCATTTCTCTGTTCCCAGGCCTTTATTTTATTTTTGTTCTTTTTATCATAAAAGCTATGTAAATGGCTTTAAAATTGCATAACACATGAAGAACTAGGATGCCACTAAGTGTAGATAAACAGAGTAATATTTTAGTGTCTGTTTCACTACAGTGCTCATCATTGTGCTGGAAGCATTTTCCATTATCACTCTGACCCATGGTCATAAGTAACCAAACTTTTTAAAAATACTTCATGTTTTCTCTAAGAAAAAACAAATGAGCTTCTCTCTGTCCAATTTTTTTCTTGTACTTTTCTATTTTCTTAGGGCACATTCCTAGGAGGAAAAGAAATCAGTTGAAGACATTGGTTATCTTTATGTTTTTTGGTAAACAACCACATTTTGCTAATTTCCCATTGAAATCACCATATTAGTGCATACTCTGAACTGAAGCAAAATTGTGTTCCAATTTAAGAAAATTTTTACCAGTTTGATATAAAGAAACATATTATGTACTATCTATTAGTGTATATGAACACACCATTGTTTCTTAGCTGTTGGTTTGAGTGGCATTTGATGAATTGCTTTGCCTATCATTTGCTAGTTTTTATTGATAGATAATTTCAAATGCTTTCATCAAGTCCTTTATATATTATAGATATTAATAACAATGATGTACATATTATAAATAACTTATTTTGATATAATCTTGATGTTTTATGTTCCTAACAATTCCTGACTTTTCTATAAAATTTTTTATCTGTTATAGGCAAATCTAATAATTTAGTAGCTGTATAATTTCTCAGTCATGACTCTTTGAGACCCTTGTCACAATGAGAGGCATATATATATACACACATATATATATACATATATATATATTCCTAGTTATTTATGATTTTATTTCTACATCTATACTTCATATTATATTAAATTATAATGAATTATTCATTTAGTGTAAGTGTACTCTGAGACTTAAAATATGTATGCATATTATTCCATTCCAGTACCTTTTCCTTTTCCCATATGAAATTAGAAAACTTTCATTGCTTTATTTTAAATAGAGATAAATTTTTTTGCAACATTTTAATAAACAAAAATTTGTTTTTTCACACCAGGATCCTTCTACCTTATTTAATCCTAACATGTCTCTAGTAATATTTTCTGCATTTTAGAGAAAGGACATATTCTTGAGGCCCTAGTCTCCTCCAAGACATGTGCAATGGTTTAAGTATGAAAGAACTGACAGGTGAATTATCTGTAAAGGAATTACCATTAGGCACTATTATTAGAAAAAAAGGCCCTGACCTTTGTCTGCTGCTTAGTACCTAAATGTCCTTTGTCCTTTTCCTGTTTCTCTTCTTCCATTAAATGAATTACCCTTCACTGAAGATCTACATTTAATAATGCCAAATATATAATACTTGTTCTCATAAGGCAAATGGGTAGTCAATCCCAGTTCAAGCATGGTTTTGATTTGTAAGGTAGAACAGTTTCTGCATATCACTTCTAGAGTGAAGAGAATTCCATGAGCTTAAATCAGTGACCAAAGATTACATTATCTCTGTAGAGGAGCTGCATTTCTAAACGGACTGTGCTGACATTTCACTGTGGAGTCGCAGGCTGCATAATGCATCCTATTCCAGCACAGAATGAAAGCTTTACAGAGAGCAAGAATGTAAAGTAGGCAAATGTTAATCAATTTCCTAACTCTGGTCACAGTTTTTGCCTCTAAAATGTGAAAATCCTGGGAAAGATATCACTTCAAAATGTTTTATTAAAATTCCTTTTCATTAAAGCCATATTTTGGAAATTTTTAGAAAGGAAACAAAAATTGATTAAATGATCTAATAGGCAGCAGGTAAGTATATAAAATTCAAAATCGGCTAAGGCAAGTTTTCCATCTACAGATCAAAAAACAAAGAACAACTTAAGCATTCCATGGACGAAAGAAAATGTGAAGGATCATGACCAAGTAAAGAAAAGCCAGGTGTTTATGAAATTTTGAATCCTGTGGGGAACAAAGTTAGAGTGGAAAGGGGGAAAGGGAACTAGATCTTATGATAAAACAACATAAACAGGATACAAAAAGAGAATAGCAGAAGTAATGATGAAGTGTTGCACAATATGTGTGAAGTCAAAGTAATAATTTCTTCCTGTCAGAGGATTAAAGAGAACAATAAATGAGTACTGAGTCAAAGCTGTGACAATCTCCAAAAGCCACATTAAATGCAGTTTAAATATTAGCAAGAATACAGGTTGTATAAAGGTAATCTAACAATGAACTGGAACTGAAGTCACCCACTTTGTCATGTTAGTAGCCTTAGTCCGTTTTCTATTAAGGGAATTACAGAAATAAAAGCTTCAGAATATTACCTCTCAAACAACATGGCAGTAGTCTATAATGTTGCTAATAATACTTCACACTTTCACCTTCAAAGAGCTTTGCTTTTAATCCCCTAAATACACCATATGCTACACACCAATTTGATAGATGGGAGGCCAATAGGGAAGATAAGTGAATCATCATAGGAAGCAGAGCCAGTGGAGACCAGAATTCAATGTATAGAGCCAGTATTTTGAGATTTAAAATTTATTTAAATTTTTAAAAATAATTCTTACAATGAAATTATTTAAATAGAACAAGTGTATGTAGTGTGTTCAATTGCATTTCTCTTTGTTATTGGCCCTTTAGAGCCTTACAAATACAAATTCACATCTATTTTAGGCAGGGATTCCTATGGTATAGGAAAATGTAAATGGATTCAGTAGTTTGTATTACTGTAGCATTTAAAAAGGTCTGGGCCTTCACAATAAATCCATTAGGAAAAGAAAACTATATATCCAACACACTAATTGCACAAAGTAAGGGAAACAAACAGACAAAACCTTGATGGTGTGGTTTCAGTGCAGAGTAAAGACAGGCCGGAGACCATTCAGCCTCATTAACCAGGGATCTGAGCTGTGACCTGCCTTTGGCCTCAAATGGTACCCCGCCAGCTGCACTCCACTGGCACAGAGGGTGGTTTGCCATATTCTTGTTAGTTAACTGGGCTAGTAGCCAGAAATGTTTCTTTTCTTTTTCTCATATTTCCAGAATTAGAGGGATTTTTTCCCTACATATTTTTCACATAAAGATGCAAAGTATAGTCCACCCACTGTGAATAAATTTAATTTAACAATCTTTATGCTTCCTTGATTTTCATCAAGTAAAAGTCTACAATACAGGGGCAGATGTGTAAACTGGGAAATAGTCCAGGTTTCTTTGTTGTTCTTCTTCTTCCACTTCATGCCTAGCCATTCAACAATACGCCAAGTTGAACAGGGAACTTGTGCTGGTAAACATGCCTCTACTTTTACTGAAGATAGTTCACTATTCACACCAGTCTGTGGGCCAGGCAAGCTTCGTGTTTGAATTGTCTTTCAGCAAAACTGCTACAAAGGATGAAGGGCATCACATTTCAGGGGAGGTTCTTTTTGTTCATGGTGCTTTCTCACACTTGAAATCACATTACCATGTTAGTGAATACCGAGGTAGGGCACATATTTCTACAAATGACATAGTCTAAAGTATCACATATCTACACAGTATCAAAATTTGGTCCATAGTAAAAAGGGAAATTCAGCTTTGAATGTTGCTAACTTTCTGACTAAGGGCCTGCTGACTTACAGCTCCCACATCCAAAAGCTGGATGCAAGCCTTTCTACTTGACTTTTAACAGGTCACCACTTACAGCTTTCATATGCTATTCAGGTCATTTATTTGGTGATATCCAGAAAACAGAGTAAATTTCTTTTGGAGTGTTTGTTCTCTTCTACATTATAGGTAGAAGCATGCACTAAAGTTTCTTTTGTACAAAATGATTGTTAATGTCACATTCTTCCTCTGAAATTGGCATGACAATTTTTTATCTTAGTACACCAATTGCTATCTGAAATCTCTGCAAAGGTCAGTTTTACTTCAGTGCTGTTTGAACTTCTTCATTCCCATCTGTGTATTGAGAGGAAAACTCACTGGGTTCCAAAGGTTCAGTTAGTCTGTGTAAGATACCAATGTAAAAAATTCAGGATATAGTTTGGAGGCTACTACTTTGTTTGCATTTTTTTCACCCTCTTCAGCTCTGGCTGATGATGTTATGCTTGATGACAGAGACACCGGGAATATAATTTTTAGATTCATCCAAGTAAAACTATGTAGCCTGTTTTCATTTGCTCATAGCCCTCTCTGTTTTTAATTTATTACCTGCATTTTTCCAATTCTGTAGTTGAAACCCGATGAAAGGATCATCAAAACGGAATATGGGCTACTGATTCGAAGTTTGCAAAAGAAGGACTCTGGGATGTATTACTGCAAAGCGCAAGAGCACACTTTCATCCACACCATCGTGAAACTGACTCTGAATGTCATTGAGAATGAACAGATGGAAAATACCCAGAGGGCAGAGCATGAGGAGGGGCAGGTCAAGGATCTATTGGCTGAGTCACGGTTGAGATACAAAGACTACATCCAAATCCTTAGCAGCCCGAACTTCAGCCTCGACCAGTACTGCGAACAGATGTGGCACAGGGAGAAGCGGAGGCAGCGAAACAAGGGAGGCCCAAAGTGGAAGCACATGCAGGAAATGAAGAAGAAACGAAATCGGAGGCATCATCGAGAACTGGATGATTCTTAGAGCTGTGGCTACGTCGTTTTCTAATTTTTCTTAATTTAAAAAAGAATTGTTTACCTGCAAAAACACTGTCTTCTGTTTTGTACATCCTTCCTACTAACTCATAAATGCTTTCTATGGAGTTTTGGTAAAACACAAGAACAAGCAATCTATATTCAATAAGACTATATGTGGCGAATATGGAATAATATAAGGGCAAATCATTCATCTGAACAAGTCTTCCAAGAACTAAGCTTGTATCTGCAAAGTGCAAGAAGTATCCCGAAAATAGGAGTTTTACATTTGCAAATGTTTTATTTTGAATTTTTGAATCCATTATGTCTTGTAAATAATTGAGCTAAGCATGCATCAAATTCGATATTGTATTGAGGTGCTGTATTTCCTTGCATGTCCATTAAGCATGGAGTTTGCCATGCAGTTGTGCTATGTTCTTATGAAAAGATAAATCATTCCACTGCTAGACCTGGTTATCTTGTGGAGGGAACTGAAAGGGAAGGCACAAATTAAAACAGCTCACATTATTAACAGGAACTTTCCCAGTGAGCCATTCGCTCTTGCAGTGTGGTGTGGGAATTTGGAGAGGTGCACTATTTCTTTCAGGCCACAAGGGTTGCATTTAGTGTACTGCAACATTGATTTACTGAGGGGCATTAATACACTTCCCAGGATTCCTTATGATTTGTAAGGAGAAATAAGTTCACAGACAGAAATTGGTTCTTAGTTGTGTATTTCTAGAATATATGCTAAGCTCTACAGGGATAGGATGCTTAATACATATTTTAATAAGATATGGGGAATATTTTAATAAAATAAGGGAAACATCACCATGTATACTACACCCTACTGGGAAGACAGGCAGATGGGATTTGTTAGGAGACAGAAGGAAAGATAGCCATAAATCCTGGCTTTGGGGAAAAACTCGTATCCTCACAAAAAGGAAGAATAATCACAAAGTGGACAAAATGCAACAGAGCTCCTTTCACTGGGAGCATAAATAGCTGCCAATTTGTAATTTATCTGTTAAAAAAGTCTGGATTATAACAAACTTCTAGCAAAAGTCTGAGGAAAAGTCAAATTTCTAAAGGATCATGGGAAGGATGATCATATTTTATTTATAACCAATGGTATTTCAGTATGTGTTTCTTCTCTTTTTTCAAAGTATTTATCATACTCTGTATATTATATTCATACATTTTCTTTATTCTCTCCTGAATATTGGATTATTGGATTATATTTGAGTGACTAGCAAAGAACAATATATAATACATTAAGAGAGAATTAAGTAAAAGACCATGGTGGGAGTGGGGATATGTATTTGCTAAATAACAAAATTTTGACAACGGAAAGGGTTAAATTAACTCTTTGACACATCTTTTTTTCGCACAACCTTCTTGAATTTCTAGGTGATACTTTGTAATTCAAGTAGCATTGTTTTAGTAATTTAACAATAAATAAGCCTACCACATGTAAAGAAAATAAACTCACAGCATTAACATAAACACCTTTCATATTTTGTTATCCTGTTCAAGTGTTTCTAATTTGACTTTCCCTCTGAATACGTATGGTGGTTTTCCTGTCTGTTTAGGCAGGACTCACCTTTCCTTCTTACAACACACAACCCTTAGCCTTCTTCTGTTTTGCCTTTTCACGCCCTTTATAGTGTGAAATGAAAAATTAGTCACTTCCTCACATGGAAGGCAGCTTTTCAGAAACCTAAATAACAGACGTTGCTCGTTTCTCATGCATTCTACATGTCTTGAAAGAAAAGTCTGTGAGAACTAGAGTGATGAGAGGGCCACTTGTTTCCCAGCCTGTGACTGTCTCTGTGTTCAGAACATTATCTGTGTCTTGCGGGTTTTTTTTTTTTTTTATGTGCATTGCTTACCTATCTCAAAGTAGTCACACTGATACATGATGTTGAGTGCCCTCTTTTGATCTTATACTCATGAATATTTGTAAATGTTGCTATAAGAAAAAAATTAAGGAACAGTTTTAATAGAAGTGAACCAGAATGAATTATTCTGAAAAAGTAATCCATAAAAATAGCTGTGCGCAGGGTTAGACTGCTAACTGAATATCATACGTGAATGTTTGTAACTATCAATTTTCTGGGATAAGAATGTCCCAGGAACTCATAGCAGGCTCAAAGTAAGTGAGAACATGCTTTATTTTTAAGATTTCAATATTTGTGCATCAGAAAGTAATATGAAAATATGGAAGATTCTGGAAAAATTATCTGAAGCTCAAATGTAACTAGTTAGGATTGACTTGTAAAAATAGATTTTATTTTCATTCAAATATGAATGTCCAAGTAGTTTTTAAGTCTTAGTGAGCAGATAACATTTTAGAAAGCTATTTTATGCTTTCTATCTATAATTCTGACTGCCTTGGATACAGAATTATTAATTCAGGATGATTGCATAAAATATATTTGAAAAATTATTAGTAAAATAAAATTTTATAAACAAAACATGGGAACAAAGATTTATGTGTATTTTTAAACACAGGCTATTGAAACGACATTTAATTTTTGAACCTCTTAATCATAAGTCCAAATCACTTAGAGAAACAGTGTGAATATATTAACTTTACAAACACAGTATGTACCTCTTTACCACTAAAGATTTTACCAAATTTGGCTTGAAATAATAAAAAAGAAAATTATTGTTAATACTTTCAAATTTTCTAAGAAATCAGCTCTCTCTGGACAGAATCTTAAAATGGCTACTTATGCTTGATTTCATATTTTTCTCCCTTACCTTCAATACACTTGTCTTTGAATTCCTTCTGTGGGTTTTTTTTTTTATTTTTTGCCTGCACTTTATTCTAACTATTTATACTGCTAAGTGGAATCCTGCCTGTCTGCATTCATTTACAATTTGTTGGGAATTTTCAGAATTTGTTTAGAAATCATAACACTATATTCATATAACTGTATGAACATTTCAAAACTAACCAAATTCAAACCAACCAAATTACTTAAGAAAAGCAAATAGTCATAGAAAAAAATTTACTAATTTGCAAAAGCCACAACTGTAGAAGTGTAATTCACAATTTTATCATTTTGTTGTTTAAAATAATGCTCATTAACAATATTCTGGCTACAAAATGGTCTTATTTTAAAATTTTCTTTGGTTTTATTTTTGGCTCTTCTTATACATTTTTTATTCCTGCTGACTCAATTAAAATATAAATTAAGAGTCAGGGTCTGTTTTTTCAAATTATCAAAAATGAATTTTTAAGAACAACTTGGTGTCATTCAGATTTCTACCAAATAATAAAAATTAAACAAGATCATTTATTAAACACTAATTTTCTTTTGCTTAAACATGAGATATATTTTATATCTATCATTAAGACAAATGGAATCAAAACTGAAATACCCTCTTAGAATGTCACCTTTGTCTTAAATAATAAGATTTAATTGATTCACCTTATTGGGAATAGATAGTTTAAAGAAAAAAATAAGTGAAATGTTTTTATAAAAAGGTATATTTTTCTCAGAGTAAATGATAAAAATACTTAAGTAATTCAGCTTACATGTGAGGTTAAAAGAAATAAAAATCTATAATTTCCAGTTTCTATACATTAAAAGTGCACATGACTTATACCTCTCATTTAAGCATTTGTAGTATACAGTATTTATAAAAAGTTTGAGATAATTTTTTTTTAAGAAAGGGCAAATATATGTCAAAGGCCATTGTTAATCATGTAATTTAATCCTGGTTTTGTGAGTGTTTAGCAATCAATTTTGAACTTATTATTTTGCTATTTTAAAAGAAATGTAGTCTTGTACTATAAAATAATTGAAAATTGTTAAATGTATATTTTGGTTGTATTATAATAAAACAAACATTAGTGTTTTATGATCATAAACAGTATTGGTTTGTGTGCAAATTTGTTTTTTTTAACTGAAAATATGTCAAATAAATTTTATGCATAGCATTGAATGAAATAATATATCAAGGAAAATAAGTCCTGAAAATTTTAAATAGATATTTTTCCACTATAAATATGCAATGATTTCATTTATGAAAGAAAAGAATAAACATCTCTCCCACTTTGATACAATTACATGGGTAAGCTTTATTGTGATTAATTAAATTTTGATTTACTGTGAAGAACAGTATCACCACAGGTCACCACTTCTTTTAAGGTTTCCAATTGTTATCCAATAAGTGAAATTTTAAAATACTCATCTATTATCTGCTTTTAGGGTATATATTTTGCTCATATTTTTGCTTAACAAAGACATTTCTTGAATTACTTTCATAGAAAATTATATGTCCAATTTGTTATACACATGAATGACACTTGATATCTACAAACAGATATATTATAATGTTCCCACAAATGTGGTACTTAAAGAGCATATAGACACACTGTACTAAGAAACATCCAGTTTTCTAATTAATCAGACAAACTTCAAACATGACTTTAGAGTAATGTAGTCTTTAAAAGTACAAATAATTTTATAAAAGTTACTTGATTTAATCTGTTTAGGCTATTATACTAAAATATCATAAACTGAGTAGCTGGTAAATATACAACATAAATTTATTTTTTATAGATGTGAAGTCAGAAAAGTCCTTTATAAGGGTACTTATCCCATTCATCAGGGCTTTTGTCCTCCTGCTTAATTAGCTCACAGAGGGCCCCTCTCTTCCTAATACCATAAATTTGGGCATTAGAATATCAATACATGAATGGGAATGGGACACAAGACATTTAGATGATAGCAGCATACTTAGGTCTCAGATCAGGTCTAAACTATAATTGTAAGTAAAATATAGACAAGTTTGATAATTGAGAAAACTTGAGTTACATTTGTTTGAAAACAGAAAGAGATAAGTTAATCTTAAGATAGAACAATGGAGAATGTGACTTTTAAATTGAGATTGAAAAGCAGCTATTACTTGCTGCCTGCACTACATGGCTTTATTAATAAAGAAAATTCTTGCCCTGAAAAAGGAAGTTGCAAATAAAGTACCACTGTCAATTGTTTCTGAAGTTCATATACTTCTACTTTGCATATACATTGTTAAAAAAAACACATTTCAGAGAATGATTTGGCAGTATTCCATGAAGTTAAAAATTCAAATATCCCAAGAAGCGCTCCCACCCTATTTTGTCATTGTTGTTATTTTGTTTTTTTGCAGTTCTGGGAGGTTGAACTCAGGAGCACTCTACAACTAAACTATGTCCCCAGCCCTTACTATTTTTTAATTTTGAGACAAGGTCTCACTAAACTGTCCAGGCCTCAAATTTATGGTCCTTCTGCCTCAACCTCCCGAGTCACTGGGATTACAGGCATAAACCACCACAGTCAGCCTTGCACAAGTTGTATGCACTGTAGAGAAACTTCTCCACTTGCACAACGGAGGACATTTTCAGAAATGTATATTGCAAGATTCATTCTAATAGAAAAGAGAGAACAACCTATATGTTCAAGAAAAGGAGAATGCATAAGTTAAAATCAAGTAACTAAATGGATAAAAAAGTTTAAATGAGAAGAAAAAGAACTGCCTTTATCAATATAGAAAAGTTTCAATAACATAACTTAAAAGAAAAAAAAATCAAAGAGTGTAGGAATGCAAACAGAGTTTTCCTAGATGTATCATGTTTAAAGAAGCAAATACTATTACTTATGGATATATATATATATATATATATTCATATGTAAGAAGTAAAAATACAAAAATATTTCTGGAGAACTTAAGCATTAAATCCCAAATAGATTTTCCTCTAATAAACAAAGGAGAGGATGAGGACATAGGGAGCTCCAGTTGTTTCAGTAATTTTGTATTTCTTTAATGAATATATAAGCAATAGAGAAAATACGTTAAAATTTGACAAAGTTGCATATTAATATACTGATCTCAACACAATTCTGTGTCCTTTAAGTCATTCATAATAAAAAAAAAAAGCTTAAGGATCTACAGTTCAATAAAAGAACAACTTCCTCCATGGTAAATTCTAAAGAGCAAGAGGGAGAAACAAAGAGACAAAAAGAGGAAAGAATAATATAGAGAAATGTTCAATATTCAGCCATTATGTAGTAGATACAGTCCTCCTATTCTAGTTACTCTTAAAATACAGACTTTTTCTCAGCATTCTGATTATTTTAAAACTGTTTCAGTTAGGACCTTATTTGGTCTCAAGGATTCAGACCCAAGAATTATGTCTAATCTTCAAATACCCACATACTGTTATGGACAGGACTAATGCATCTAGGATATGGAACTATGTGCTTAACATGCCAAAAGGTTTAACAGAACTGAGTTGGCCATTTTTGGATTTAACACTACTCAAGGTTGATGTTTTCAATATAGAGTTTTGGGCTTCCATATCAAATTTATAAACTCACTCATGCTCTTTATATAGCCGGAAGACTGAAGAGAAATATTTATATCTTGCTCAACATAATGGTTCCACAAATCATTATTTTCTTAAGGAAAGGCTCTATATCAATTTCTACTTTTATGTCACTATGAAAATT